GAACTGCTGGCATAAATGAGGGCACAGGTCATAGATAAATTCGTAGGATTAGGCTATTGGAAGTGAAAAAGCTTTGAGGAGGATGAACATAGAGAAGGCTTTAGAACTATATGGTATCCCAATAGAGGTTTGGAAGTGCATGGGGGAGATTGGCATGACTGGCTAACCAAGTTGTTCAACAAGGTGTAGAGAACAAAAAAAATGCCAGATGAATCGAGGAAAAGAACTGTTGTGCTTATTTACAAGAACTAAGGAGAAATAATTGTGCGAACTACCAAGGGATCAAACTTATGAGCCACTATGAAGTGGTGGGAGAGAGTGATTGAGCAACGACTAAGGCATAAAACGAGTGTATCAAAAAACCAATTCAGTTTCATGCCAGGGAGGTCAACAACTAAAGTATTTTCTTACTTAGGCAACTGATTGAGAAATTTAGGGCGAAGGGAAAAGACCTCCACATAGTTTTCATTGATCTAGAGAAAGCTAATGAAAGAGTACCTCAAGATTTGATTCGATGGGTGTTGAAAAAAGGAGCCTCCAGACACAACATCGACTTGGTGAGAGATACATATGAGAGAGTGCTAACTAGTGTACAAACAACTGGTAAAAAGATGAATGAGTTCCCAGTGGCAACAGGTCTGCATCAAGGGTCAACATTAGGCCCATACCTCTTTGCCTTAGTAATGGACGACTTCACTAGGGACCTACAAGATGAGATACCGTGATGCTATTCGTGGACGACATAATTTTGATTGATAAGATCCAAAATGGCATCAACACAAAGTTAAAACTTTGAAGGGATGCTCTAGAATCTAAATGTTTTAAAATTAGCCGAACTAAGATAAAGTATATGAAATGCAAGTTTAGTAATAATAGGAATAGAGTCGAGAAAGCAGTTAAGATTGACCTACAAGAAATATAAAAAAGAGCGCACTTTCGATATCTTGATTCGCTAATCTAGGAAAATGGAGAGATTGAGGAAGACGTCTTACATAGAATTAAAGCTGGATGGGCAGTGGAGATGTGCAACTGAAGTTTTATGAGATCACCAAATACCAATGAAGCTCAACGGCAAGTTCTATAGAATGGTTGTGAGACCAGCTTTGCTTTATGGGGCGAAATGTTGAGCGGTCAAGAAACAACATACCCATAGAATGAGTATAGCTAAGATGGGGATGTTGAGATGGATGAATGGCAAGACAAGAAGGAGAAAAATCGGAATGAACACATTCGGGAGAATTTAGGTGTGGTACCAATAAACGATAAGATGAGAGAAAGTGGACTTAGGTAGGCTGGCCATGTGTTGCGCAGACCCAATATAACACCTACTAGAGGTGCGAATTAATTAAGTGGAAGGCTTAAAAAGGACATAGTTGGAAGTAGTGAGAAAAGATAAGGCAAATTATAGCCTCACTGAAGGTATGGCCTTTATTAGAGTAGAATGGCGGACCATGATTCGTGTAGCTGACTCCCATTAATTGGGAAAAGGCTCTAACGATGATGATGATGATGAAAGGAAGCATTGGAATGAGCTTCAAAAAAAAAGCAACAGATGATTCTCCTCCTTTTCCCAAAGATATGAGTAGCCTTTTTGTATAGAGTTGATTCAACTGCTAAGCATCTTCAAGGTAGCAATAGAAGTGTTCCAAGCTTTGAGCACTAAGTGAATTTTGTTTCCCAACATCAAGAGATGCAAATATACTTTTCAGCTTCTCAGATTTGCTTCCTAATGACCATGATGAATTGCTTAGTACTGACAAGGATGAAAATCCTAGAGTGTTCTCCGAAATGATTGGTAAAGTTGATCAAGGACTAAGGTTTTCCAGAACTCAGCAATCCAATTCATCATAAATATCATGATGAGGATGAATACCAGACAATAATAGACCTAGAAGTGGGTGAATTCCTAATCCATCAAAAGGTGTTGACAACACACCACCATGACAAGTAGAGTAGAATTCACACGACAAAGTGTTTATACTCAATTCTCATATGTTCAAAGAAGATCCTTTTCCTAAGGGTCTTTCAAATGCGTTACAACTCTTGCTCTTGAAGGAGGTGGTTCAACAACATGAGAGTTGAATGATATTGAGGTTCATAGATCTAAGAGAGAGCAATAACATTCTCAAAAACAAAAAGAAGAAATAGAGAACTAAGCCAAGTACTGAACAACAAAACTACTTGCCAAAGAAGTCCTTGAAGAAGCCAACCAATAATTTGAGTCCCAACAATCCTCTAATAAAGACCAAGTGCTACTTAAACTCCTTACAATGATTCAATCAATCTCACAAGCTAATGATGCCCAAGGAAATCAATCCAAATTCCTTATCAAGTAGAACGAGCAACCAGAAGCAAGCATGGACAAGAAGTTGTTCTGTTAAAGGTGGGAGAATGATAAAATTGAAGGACGTAATTCACATCGATGTTTGTTTATGGTAATCTAAAGCTCAAATCGAAAGTAACCTCAAGATCTATGATAATCTAAAGCTCAGATCGAACGTAACCTCAAATCCAGCATTTTGGGGTCTAAATCATGGTTCAAAGCCTAATGAGAAATTTAGCTACAAATTTTACTATTAATTAGATTTAGGATTAATTAAGAAAGTTAGGTCCTTTTTAATTTTTAAGTAACCAAATTTGCAACTGAAAAATAGTTTTTTAAGAGTCTAGAAAGGTTAGTTCCTGGCTTTGTAAGGGTCAGGTTTCTAAAGCTAGAAAGGAACTAGTTGCCTAATTTTGAAACCCTCTAACAGATTAAGAAGTTAAGGAAAGCAGATACAGCTGGAGTTCCAAGCTAACTCAAAAAAACATGGATTCAAACCTCTACAAGTACCCATATAGGCCTGCCTAAGACAAAAACCAATTCAATTTGACTAATAAATTTTGGATTTCAATGTGGTTGGAGACCACCTTTAGAGAGGATATTCCACAAGTCTTTATGCAGACAGTGTGATTGTACAACTCCAGCCTAGGATTGGGAGAGTCTCCCTGAAAAGGTTAGAGCCCATTTTCTATGTTTGGGTGGGTAGTTTCCCCAAGACCTTAGCTTGTGCTTTGAAGGTTCTACCCATGTAAGCTTCAGCACCTTCTTCTATACCTCTCACATGACACTTCCCCATCCAAGAATCCCTTAACTGAATTTATTACCCTTTTATACCAAATCAAATCACCCCTTTCCCAAGCCCTAATAACATACTCCTTCGTAAATGCATCACCCAAATTCCTAAGCCCTTCAAATCTAATTAAGCCCCAATCTCACCTCTTCCTTCAAATGCAGCCATAACCTTTACTGGACCTGCAATTTTCCAGTAACTTCAACCCCCTCAACTCCATCTAAACCTAACCTTAATTGTTGCCCTAATTATACCTAACCCTCCCTATCACCTCACCTTTAATCCTACCTTAACCTTAGATTCCCAATCCTATGCAAAGTTGGAGACAACGACAATTTCCAAAACCCTGCTGTCCCATTTTCTTAAGCCACCTCGCATGTTTCACTCATATAGGAGCCAAGTCCCCTTCGTTAATTATCAAGTAAAGCTTGAAGATGCCAAGTACTTCAATGACTCTTCTTAAGAAGATCCATAGCTTTATAAAGTTAGAACAGTTTCTTCATTAGAGAACAGAGAAGGGAAGGAGTACCATAAGATTTCTCAAATAATGGTTTGAAGTCACTGGCCTCATATTGCAGCCCTACACACATGAAGAGCTAAGTCAGCATGTCACTAGCTACTGCTCCATAGTAGTGTACCGTAGGCTTCTCTACCTAGAGGATGCAAATCAACAGCACTCATGTCTTTAATCCAACATAAGAACGAATATGGCAAGCTAGCATCATCACATCATCATCACCACCATCATGATGATGATGATCATCATCATCATCATTATCATTATCATTATTGTTGGTGTTGTCATTATTATTATTAATTTATTTTTATAATTAGTTCCAATGACCGACAAGTTGTGAATGTTCCTCAACTCTCAAAGAGCATCCCACCTTTGATATGGTTTATAAGGGAGTTGCAAGATAAGGAAGATACTGAGGACAAAGGGTGCGTGAGAGGGTGTTTCCTAAAAATTCATGTTGTAGCCACGACACGCAAGGAAAGTTGCTTGTTTCAATGTGCTAACATTTCTAAAACAAGCATTGTGCCCAATACTGCATATTTCTCCCGATGAAAGGGTCAATCTCCACTAGGTAAAAGTAGTAGTTCTACTCAATGTGCTAACATGCAATTGAAAGTTGGCAGCCCCTGAATCAATGTGCTTACATTTCTAAAACAAGAACTATGCCCAATACTGCATATTTTCCCAATTAAACGGCAAACAAGCTCCACCATATAAGATGGAGCAGCCCAAGATATAAGCAGTACTTCTACCTCCACTTGATGTTTTAAAGCTTCTCAATGTCCTCGGAGAGGTCACTCTTAGTGAAACTATAAGTTCGAAGGAGTGAACCTCATCAGTCAGCAATCATCAACCATGCACACTACAAGTGAAGAACAAGATACCAGGGAGTGATCTCAGCTATTCTCAACTGAGTCACCACTCTTCTCGTGTCAATCTTGGATCAAATTATTGCAAGATATGAAATATCACTTTTTATAAGTTTATGTCAGAGACATATCATTTGTATAAACAGCAACGGCGACACTTCATTAACAACAGAAAACCCACCACCATCCCCTTACAATATATATTCAGATGCTTGGGAACCCACTCCCACAGCATTGACTTATCTGTACGTTTGGGGACCCCATCGATATGAACAACAAGGAAAAGCATGTAAATACATCTGATTAATTTCACCACAATCCTGCCATGTGATACATTTAGATCCAACAAAAATAACTCACTGCTAGCGAGAATGAAAAACTAAAAGAGGATATGATTTACATCACATCCATGCAATGGTCCCACTGCAGTTATATTCCAAAATCCAACAAATGTACTTCAGCTTTGAACTACGAAAAGAAAACAACTTTAATGAAAAATACCTATCAAATTTGTAGCCATGAAGTAATGACTCAGCAAGAATTGTCTTTGTAGATGTGGCCAAACACCCAAGCAAGGCAGCAAAAAATCCAAATATATTAAAACTGAGCTCTGTCACAGAGGTAAGAAGAATGCCCCCCACAATGGGTACTAGAGCAGTCCAAATGCGCCAATCAAAATACTTTCTCCATACGAGCCATTGTAGGAAGACTGCATTGAAAGGGTCAAGTATTGGGGAGCTGAAGATTACAATACCATAAATTTTATGATTCATGTAAAAGATAAAAGAGTGCAGAGAATGATCTCATGGGAGAATTTAACTAACCTGTTGTGGCTGGAGTGAAAGACTTTATAGTCTGCATGAAAGAAACTGGAATATACCGCAAGCTCACATTTCCCAAGACTATGTTGATACAGAACACAAATGACATGGGAAATATCCTTCTCCAACGATCTTCAGGATCTACCTCAATAAGTGGTTTTAGCTTCAGCACCTTGATTGCCAAATATGCTCCAATAGCAGAGCATATAAAGTGAATGCAAGAGACCGTCAAAGGAAACTTGAAATCCAACTTCTGTGCATGTCAATGTCAGAAAAACATCCATATAATTTCTAATCATGATAGTACAAAACAATGTACTCTAAATATATTTCACTTCTAATTCAATTTCTTCAAAAGCAAACGAGAAAGCCATAAAATAGCAACAGAAAATTCAATGCTAATCGTCATCAGTACAAGTGCAAGCAGAGAATGGAATTCCTTACAAACATAACTTATGTAGATTGCATTTTGAGAATGCCCTTTGACGCCAACCAGCCAAACAATCATATAACATAACAAATTGCAGAAAAAAAGAGCAACCACCTCTCACATCACAAATCACGGTGTAAGGATAAAAACCCAAAGCCATTCAACCTACCTAGAGAACCCCAAAAGCCTAGAGCAATCAAATCCTATTTTACATATAGAAAGCGACAACATCTCTCTCATAGTAAACTCTAAGGGTAGAAGGGAAAAGCAAAATCACAAGACCAGTTGTCTATTTGGAAAATTTCAGAATTCCAGAGGTATCTTTAAGAGTTGAATTTCACTCATAATTTGGGAGCAGTTTCCATACCATTTGCCTTCCTGCACCCATAAGTAATTATAGAATAGGCGAAGAGATAAAGAAAATGGGTTAGACTCAGCCACTCGCTTTCAATTATTCACCCACTAATTTCTATTTTAAACATAAATTCCTTCAAAAAGTCAGCCTTCTCATCCTGGATCTCCTTGCGACCTTGGGATGTGGATCACCATAAAAGGAGTCATCAAATGACACATTGATTGGTCAAAAGGCTCATGGGAGCCTTCTTGACTAGTCAAAGGACTGCCCGGTGCATTATTCTCCCCCTGTTTGGAAGAACTCGACCTCGAGTTCGGCTCTTATTGCTACCTCAGGTCTGTGACTCAAAAAGATCAGCAACATTGAACACATTCAAGGTCTCAATCTCAGCTGGACGGTCAATCTTATAGGCATTACTCCCTATCTTCTTCAGCACTCAAAACAGTCCAATCTTCCTATCATTCAGCTTGTGGTATTTGCCCACAGGATGCCTATCTTTGTGTATATAACAATCACCAAATGGCCCACCTGAAACTCTTTGAATCACCTATGTTTATCTATAGCTTCCTTGTACTTGGCAGTGGCAATCTCCAAATTAACTCCAACCTGGTTATGCACATCCTTCATGTGCTCAATCATACTGCTAGCATCTAGGTGTCCTTCCCCATTTGGTAGAGAAGCCAAATCCAACATATGGACAGGATTACACCCATACAAGACCCCAAATAGGCTCTTACCACTTGACCTACTAAAGGCAGTGTTACATACACACTTCACTCTCCCATTTATGTCGCGTGTCAACATGTTGACACTCAAAGACATGTGTCGACCGCCTAGACACGGATTCGACATGTTGATTATATATGTCGAGCTGTTTCGTGGTTATCAGTACGTATCGACACTTTTTATAAAGTGTCGTCATATTTTTTGCACTTAAGGCCCAGTTTGGATGTCAAAGAAAAAAACATTCACATTGAACAAAAAAGCAATATTTTCCCTCCTCAATTGAGAAACATTATCGGTTTATTTTATTATGTTAGTAGACTGTTTGGATTATAGTTGTTGGAAACATCTATGATTCCAAATCGTTTCTGAAATCAGAATCTCGTGTATCAGAAGTTTCAAAATCTAGGAATCGTTGTCCGTACAATTCGGATTTGAGAAAAATGATTCTCATTATTGCGGAATCGCAATTCAAAAAACTAGGAATCGTGTTCCCTATTTGCAAGAATCGATGTCCCTTCATGCTGGAATCGTGTTTCATACCTATATCGAATCACACATGACCCCACTTGTTTCGGTGGTTGTTGGAATCGTGATTCCTAAAAATATGGAATCGTGATTTCTAAAAATAAAGAATCATGACTCCTAAAATTTTGGAATTGTTGTCCCCATCAACTTCAAATCAACATTCTCACCATTCCGAAATCATGATTCTCCCCATATTGGAATCGAGAACCTCCCCTTACTACAATTGCGAACCAATTCCCTCCGATATATGAGAGAAGTATTCAAAAAATATATAAATTTATCCATTACTACAAGATCGCATTTTGGTCTGTATATACTCAATCCAAGACTACAAATACTAATGTCAACCTTTATGATATCTTTGTGGACAATCCCATACAATAGACTCAGTCTACCGATAACCCTAATATGCCTACAAGATCTGAAGCTAGTCTACAACATACAAGGAGTGGAAACAAGGGCAAGCTCCCTTTATCTCCTTTCCTTGAATTATAAAATATGTTCATAACATAATAATTCTTCTTTGTTAAATGTAGTTTTGAGTCTTTTTTACTTTTGAAAATTGAGTTATTCAATTTTTAGTCAATTTCTCTGATATTTAATGATTACTTTAACCTAAAACATCACACAAGGCACTTCGCTCATATCCTTATTATCTTCTTATTTTACTTAAAAAAACGAATTTTTATCCTCTTATTCAACTTGAAGAAATGATGATATCGATCATATATTAAACATTATTACATTAGTAGTTTAGTACCCACACCATTTACCAAACATTATCAAATTTGAAGTAGAGTTCTTAAAAAGTAACAAGGAATGAAGGATGGAAATTAGTAAATAAGAAAATAAAAAATTTAACATATTAGTTATATTTTAAAATTTGATTTTATTGCCGTGTGCAACAACTTCAAATTCTCTCACACTATCATACATGTCGCGCTCACTCATGATTGAGCACACATCAAAGGGTTTCTGCTCACATATAACTCATATTTTAAATTTTGATTTTATTGCCATGTGCAACAACTTCAAATTCTCTCACGCTCTAATACATGTCGCGTTCACTCATGATTGAGCACACATCGAAAGGTTTCTGCTCTCCCTATGCTCACATTGCTTTCTGACAACATGGATTCACAATTCCTTAATACTTTGAATCAACGTTTAGCATAAGTAGAATCGCATTGTTGTGTAGCAAGGAATCACGATGTCTGATTCCAAACAACATGGATTCGCAATTCCAAAAAATTTGGAATCAACGTTTCTCACAAGTAGAATCGCATTTCATGTGTAGCTAAGAATCATAAAGTCCTCGATATGGAATCTTGATTCCGGTAATCCAGGGATCGAGATTCCTAAACTAGGTGGAATCGCGTTCCACAAAAAATGGAAACATGATTCCTTTCTTTTAGAATCGACTTTCGCCAGGAGAAACGACGAACTGAGATTCTAAAACAGAATCGCTACCCTCATAGGCGATTCAAGTAACTATAGTTTGGATGTCTATTAAAATATGAGAAGAAAATTTTATTTGCTAGATATATCTATTTGAATGCATTGCAATAAATTCTAAATTTGTATTTTTTCTTTATTTTTCTCATTACATAAAAAAGTTTTGACCAATGATCTCCCTAGAGCAGTCGAAAATGGCAGAAAAAAAACTCAAAATATGAAATTTTAAAGAAATCCCAAACTCAATTTACACAATTTCATAATTTAATTATATTGATTCCTCTCTCTCTCTCTCTCTCTAAATCTACAATTTATTCCTATAAATATACAAACAGAGAGAATGAGAGGAACCAGAAAGCAGGAGCAGGGAGAAGTTCAATATTATTATTAGAGAGAGAGTAACTTGATGGATGGGCAAAAAATGTACCTTCCTCTGCAAATGTTTTGAGGTTACAAAAAATCTTCCTATGCATACTCAGAAAACAACTTCATTAAATTTAGATAGAGAAACTCTATGTTATAGAGAAAAACTCCACCCCGAAGAATCATGGCTCCTAGAGATATCGAGCAAAACCCTGAATTTCTAGAGAGAGTAAGAGAAGGCATTTGTAAATGCGACTCAGGAAGGTTTGGGGGAAAGGCGCGAAGAAGTAAGCGAAAAAAAATCTCCATAGTTGAAGATGAGAGAAGAAAGAGCTGTGAGACCTGCTTGAGAGTGGGAGAGAGGCTTTTGTAAGTGTGACTCAAGGTTTGGGGGAAAGAGTGGGAGAGAGACTTTTGTAAGTGCGACTCAGAGCTGGAAGGTTTGGGGAAAGCCGCGAAGAGAGAAGCGAAAAAAAAATTGACCAAAAAATATTTGAGCCTAACTCAATGCTCACGTTTTAGGGCAAATTTGGCTTAGTGACATAATCTGTTTTGTTGGGGAATAAAATCTAATGGGTTATCCAAACGGTTCCCAGGTGCTATCTCAATCTTTTTTTCTTGTCATTGGAAAATATTGCAATTTTGGGTACATCCAAACTTGCCCTAAATTTTAAATTTAAAATAATATATAAAAAATTTGACATTTCCTCCTTGTCAATAACTAAGGGGTTTTTGCCAATTAAATAAGACTCCTATTAATAATTACCATATAATTAATTATTTGGTGGCATTGTACACATAAACTTGCATGGCATGGTAGCTTTTACTACCCATTAGCCACATAACATTGGTTCCATTTCTCTCCTTCACTCAATATTTTAGAAAAGCATACTACAAAGCCCATTTTGATTTTCAAAAAACCAAATTAAACCCAATTCAAATTTTGAATAGTATGGGTGGCTTTAAATAGAAAAAAAGCTTTCAATTTTTGAAAATGCATGAGTTAAAACCAATTCAAATTTCCAAAACAATGGGCATCAAATTTAAATCCCATTTTCAATTTTCAAAACAGATAGGAATGGATATGGGGTTCTTTGGACCAAAACGTTAAGGTTTATTTGTGGCCAGATTCTTTTAGGGCCAGTTTGGATGTACCCAAAATTGCAATATTTTCCAATGAGAAGAAAAAACGATATGAGTTAACAACTGCTAACTGTTCGGATAACCCATTAGCCCCTTTTCCCCAAACCTTCCTGCTCTGAGTCGCACTTACAAAAGCCTCTCTCCCACTCTCAAGCAGGTCTCACAACTCTTCCTCCTCTCACCTTCAAGCAGATCCCATCTCCCTGTTTGGATAACCCATTAGCCCCTTTTCCCCAAACCTTCTCGCTCTAAGTCG